GCTTGCAAGCAGCTTTCAAGAAGCAATGTGCCTGCCGAATTGCCAGGCCAGCTGGTTTTCGCATTGGAAGGAAAATGCTAGTCCGGCTGCTCTGCGTGTCTGTGTGGGCAAGAGCATTTATCAAGCATGGTTGGTAGTTATTTGCTGGAGCTGAATGTCTGCACCACAGAGTTGATGATTGGGAATCATGTCACTGTCATTGTCACTGTCGCTGTTGTTGTTGTTGCCCCGTTCGGCTTAGCATACCACCGATGGCGATTGAAGTGCCAGAAGTAGACCTCGTTAATAGTGGGTTGACTTGCAACGTTGACTGACTGGGCACATCAAGCTTCCCAGGGTCAAGCCCGGGCGCTGCCACAGAGAAGCAACCAAGCCATGATGGAAGGTCAGTTGTCAGTGGCGCTCAGCTGCTTCACGAACCACAAATTGTCATTGTCCATAGCTGAATGGTCAAGTGAATTCGCCGCAGGTGAAGGCTGCCACAAACAGTGGGCAGCTACTTTGCAGTTTTGTTCTATGAGCATTGTCATCTTCACTGTGTCGTCAGTGTCATCACGGCTCATCTGGCGCGCAATTTGGCCATGACCGAATCTTCATCCATGCGCGGCTGGATGGTATTAAATTTTAAAGTTTACCATGTTCACATCCTGAGATGACACGAAAAATGTATCGTCGCCGGTAAACCCTTCAAAGATTAAATTACTCAATTAGACAATTTGAAAAGCATATTTCGCATGTCCTTAAGGAGCGCCCAGTCAAGTATCCAGTCTGTAAGGTGACATATCGCAGTGCTCCACCAGCCTCAGGTCCCACTAAAAAACCGAGATCGAACTTGACAATGGGCCCAGCTCCCGACACTTCTCGGGTCACGGGTCTCGGGTCTCGGGTTTCGCGTGGTTCTCGGGTTCTCGGGTCTCGGGTCTCGGGTCGCGGATCGCGGGTCGCGGGTCGCGGGGTCTCGCGGTCTCGGGGTCTCGGGTCTGGGGGTCTCGGGTCTCGGGTCTCGGGTCTCGGGTTTCGGGTGGTTCTCGGGTTCTCGGGTCTGGGGGTCTCGGGTCTCGGGTCTCGGGTCGCGGGTCTCGTCTCGGGTCTCGGGTTTCGGGTGGTTCTCGAGTTCTCGGGTCTCGGGTCTCGGGTCGCGGATCGCGGGTCTCGGGGTCTCGGGTCTGGGGGTCTCGGGTCTCGGGTCTCGGGTCTCGGGTCTCGGGTCTCGGGTCTCGGGTCTCGGGTTTCGGGTGGTTCTCGGGTTCTCGGGTCTGGGGGTCTCGGGTCTCGGGTCTCGGGTCTCGGGTCTCGTCTCGGGTCTCGGGTTTCGGGTGGTTCTCGGGTTCTCGGGTCTCAGGTCTCGGGTCGCGGATCGCGGGTCGCGGGTCGCGGGTCTCGGGGTCTCGGGTCTCGGGTCTGGGGGTCTCGGGTCTCGGGTCTCGTCTCGGGTCGCGGGTCTCGGGTCTCGGGTCTGGGGTCTGGGGTCTGGGGTCTCGGTTCTCGGCATCTTGGGGGGGTCTCGGGGTCTCGGGTCTCGCGTCTTGGGTCTAGGGTCTCGGGTTCTTGGGTCTTGGGTCGGGTCTTGGGTCGCGGGTCGCGGGTCGCGGGTCTCGGGTCTCGGGTCTCGGGTCTGGGGGTCTCGGGTCTCGGGTCTCGTCTCGGGTTGCGGGTCTCGGGTCTCGGGTCTGGGGTCTGGGGTCTGGGGCCTCGGTTCTCGGGGTCTTGGGGGGGTCTCGGGGTCTCGGGTCTCGCGTCTTGGGTCTAGGGTCTCGGGTTCTTGGTCTAGCGTCTTGGGTCGCGGGTCGCGGGTCGCGGGTCTCGGGTCTCGGGTCGCGGGGTCTCGGGGGGGTCTGGCGGGGTCTCGGGTCTCGCGTCTTGGGTCTAGGGTCTCGGGTTCTCGGGTCTCGGGTCGGGTCTCGGGTCGCGGGTCGCGGGTCGCGGGTCTCGGGTCTGGGGTCTGGGGTCTGGGGTCTCGGGTCTCGGGGTCTCGGGGGGGTCTCGGGGTCTCGGGTCTCGCGTCTTGGGTCTAGGGTCTCGGGTTCTCGGGTCTCGGGTCGGGTCTCGGGTCGCGGGTCTCGGGTCGCGGCTCGCGGGTCGCGGGTCGCGGGTCTCGAATCTCGGGTCTGGGGTCTGGGGTCTCGGGTCTCGGGGTCTCGGGGGGGTCTCGGGGTCTCGGGTCTCGCGTCTTGGGTCTTATAGGGTCTCGGCTTCTCGGGTCTCGGGTCGGGTCTCGGGTCGCGGGTCGCGGGTCGTGGGTCGCGGGTCTCGGGTCTCGGGTCTGGGGTGGGTTCTCAGGTCTCGGGGTCTCTCTCGGGGTCTTGGGTCGCGCGGGGTCTGGGTCTGGGGTGTGGGGTCTCGGGTCTCGGGGTCTCGGGAGATTCTCGGGTCTCGCGTCCTGGTCTCGGGGTCTCGGGGGGGTCTCGGGGTCTCGGGTCTCGCGTCTTGGGTCTAGGGTCTCGGGTCTCGGGGCGGGTCTCGGGGTCTTGGGGGGGTCTCGGGGTCTCGGGTCTCGCGTCTTGGGTCTAGGGTCTTGGGTTCTCGGGTCTCGGGTTGGGTCTCGGGTCGCGGGTCGGGGGTCGCGGGTCTCGGGTCTCGGGTCTGGGGTCTGGGGTCTCGGGGTCTCGGGGGGGTCTCGGGGTCTCGGGCCTCGCGTCTTGGGTCTAGGGTCTCGGGTTCTCGCGTCTCGGGTCGGGTCGGGTCGCGGGTCGCGGGCGCGGGTCTCGGGTCTGGGGTCTGGGGTCTGGGGGAGGTCTCGGGTCTCGCGTCTTGGGTCTAGGGTCTCGGGTTCTCAAGTCTCGGGTCGGGTCTCGGGTCGCGGGTTGCGGGTCGGATCTCGAGACTGGGGTCTGGGGTCTCGGGTCTCGGGGTCTTGGGGGGGGTCTCGGGGTCTGGGTCTCGGGTCTCGGGTCTGGGGTCTGGGGTCTTGGGTCTCGGGGTCTTGGGGGGGTCTCGGGGTCTCGGGTCTCGCGTCTTGGGTCGAGGGTCTTGGGCTCTCGGGTCTCGGGTCGGGGGGTCGTGGGTCGTGGGTTGCGGGTCTCGGGTCTCGCGTCTTGGGTCTAGGGTCTCCGGGTCTCGGGTCGGGTCTCGGGTCGCGGGTCGCGGGTCGCGGGTCGCGTTACCTTTGCCCAGGTTGTGGGGTTTCCACCGAAGGCAGCGGCAGGTTCCTCACTGTCAGAGGATGACTTGCCTTTTGAAGACCAATACAATGCTGCCATCATCCAATCCTTGCAAAGGCTCGGATACGCAGCTGCTTCGTGCCACCACACAAATGTGGGCAAGGTGGACATCTTTGCAAACGTGGACACCAAGACCTTCAGTGTGGAATGTATCATGGCAAAGAGTTCCCCGGCAGATCACGCAGAACACCGGGGCCGCTTTGACAGGCTAGAATCGTACAGCAGCGCAGACCACAAAGCACTAGTCACAGTTGGAAGTCTCAAATCTCGGGCGCGAGCGCGCGTTTTGAAAACGAAAGCAGATGGAGTCGAGATCATCGGCTTGGTGCCCAATATCGCGCACACTGGCCTCAGCATCCTGTACCGAGGTGTGGGTGCCAAGAGCTGTCCGACTCGGCTTTTGAAACTAACTGCGTTTGAATTTGAGCTTTCCATTGCCAGCCCCAAAGGCTTTGACATGAAGACTCAAGAAGGGAAATGAGGTAAACAAATTGGTTCGTGTCCCTGGAGGTGCCCAAGCTGCAGAGGGTGCGGATTTGGTGGAGCACTATGTTGAGCGCGACCTCGTGGCACGCGCGTTGGACACCAACAACGGGATCCGTTGCATCCAGAAAGTTTTGCACATCAACAAACCTGCGCAACCTCCAGGCAACATTTTCGTTTGCGCCGGCGCAACAATTTGTTGCTTCATTCACTGTAGGGTTTCCGCCTAGAAGAAACATCTTTGAATCTTTTCAGCGAAGTGGAAACTTGTCAGAGCTGCACCCTGCAAGGCAGCGCATGGGTGAGATTGTTTGATCACGGTCAATGGGCGCTAGACTTTTTCATAGAGCAAAACATGTGTCTGATTGCTAGACTGGCCTTCCTGTGTAAGGCAGCACTTATCACGTTGCTTAGATTGCCGCCTGCAAGGCAGTGCTGTCTCCCAACCACCCGCTGCGGTGTGGGTCCGTCAGCTGAACAGCATTGCCCGCGCCTTACCAGCTGTGTGAAGTCTTGCCTGCCCTGCGTTCATGTTCAAGATAAGCTGTCAATTTGTCGACTTCCTTCTCAGAAGAACTCTCGAAATGTCGCCCACCTCCAAATCGAAGGCGTTTGTGGAGCCATCGGTTACACGGATGGATGTGAACTGGATTGCTTGCTGTGAGGACGGCAAGGAGCCTGAGATCATTGGCAGCGGGTCTCGGGTCTCGGGTCTGGGGTCTGGGGTCTCGGGTCTCGGGGTCTCGGGGTCTCGGGGTGTTGGGGGGGTCTCGGGTCTTGGGAAGGGCTCGTTGTCAAGTGCGCTCTGAAAAAACCTGCATAATTGCATGTTTGAAGACAAAAAAAAAAAAAGCAACGCCCTAAAGTAGCACCGTATCACCTTGTTGACTGTCAGATCTAAAATGAGGACGTTTCGGGATGGGGGATTTGAGTGGGGTGGGCTTGGGAAGCCCTTTCTGCTCTGCATTTCAGAGGACTTGAGGCATGCTGTTGTCACTCGCTACCCTCAACGTTGCCTCACATGTGCATCAAATGCATATTTCGGAAACTGACCACTAAATACATGTCCTGCTCTTGGTGCCGCGTGGCAAGATTTGCTAGGCTGCGGGCCCCCAGCAGGGGCTCCTTGTAGATGTTGTGCTGTTCTTGTAGTCAACCAAAGCCCTTGAATAACCAAGTTCATAAAACGGGTGCACTGGTCACTAGATACTCGTGTCCCAGTACATGACTATCATGACCATTAATTAGCACGGGGGGGTTCTGTGTGTCTGGCTGCAAGAAACTCTTCAAGAGCAAGTGGTGCAACAATGTTGGCCGCCGTTGGTATGGGCACCTCACAACATTAATCCAAGCCACGACAGGGCCGTCATGCTCAAAGCGGCCAGGTAAAGAATGCTGAAGGTGGCAACCTCAATTGAGACTCCCTGCTACATGCATCCAAAAGCAACCCCCCCAACTTCCAGCATGTTTCGCGGGCGAGAATTCAACGGTCCACGCCTTCCAGGAAGAACCAGGACTCCCTACTTCACCCAAAATACTTCACTCTCAGGCAAAACGCTTGCGCCCTCACTTTCTGATCGGAGGATTCCGGCAGCTGAACATTGAGCTACATGAACAGGACCGGTCTGTGCATCTCCAGGAACCTCCACACGCACTCTCATGGAATCTGGTAACTAAAGAAAGCCAAGCTCATAGCCAATTTCTGAGATCCCGCCAAAAAAAAGAGGCAGGAATACCCTCGTCGGTTTACCATCTGCACAGTTTGACTTGCAGCCTTTGAGGAATGCACCAACATGTGGCACAAGGTTGCAACATGAAAAGAGTGTGTCAGAGTGGGCGCGGCAACAACTGGCAAAGAAGCGTCCTCCCTGTTGCACGGAGTGGATGGCCGCAAACTTGGCTCAAGTGCCAAAAAACGCTCATGCAAGAAGGCGCTGAAAGGGAAAATCATGAAGTGAGCATAATCGAAGAGTCAAATGAAAGATCAACGCCGTTTTCCTAATAGTCTTGGGAGATACAGAATACGAAACAACCTTTCATCTAATCAGATGGCTTTGTATAAACAAATGCTGTTAAAATAATTTAGCACCGAAGTTCAGCGGAGCAAGCCACATCAGAATGCGTTTCCTGGAAGTGCGGGGTCTTGCGGATTCGCCCAAGTGGCTTCATGAATTAGTCTTCAAGCCACATGCGTTGCCCAAAGACCGTGAGAATAAAGCTAGAATTGCTCCTTGGTCCAATTGAAAACTATCCAAGCATATTCTCGTTGAGTCCAGCCCAGTTTCCACGCGTGAGTCAAGCTTCAAACAACCTCCAGGAACAGTGGGCACCCTCCCGACTTAACGCCATGGCGGAAGCCCATACAAAAGATGGTTGGTTGGTTGGTTGGTCGGTTGCCTTCTTGTTTGGTTGCCTTTCCCAAAGGCAAGCTGGGCCCCAGCTCTGCTCTGGCAATGCCTGCGCCCCAAGTGCGGCCAGAGCTGCCCAGAGGTGCACCCAGCATTTCCGGCCCCTCAGAAGCGCATCTCAAGGACGCTGCGTCTCTCAGGAGGATTCTGAACAAAGGATTCAGATTGCAACAAGCCAATTTTGCTGGGTCCCTTATTTCACAATTCGCCCAGTCCCTGAGTGGCAAGTTGGCGGGGTTTTGCGACTTGCTGGAAACGGCCGCAATGCCCTGCTTGGCAAGCGAATGGCCCCATCGCATCCCATCTGCATCTCCCCCATTGGAAGTGATCGACACCTGATCCAATAGAAATCGCCACTGGCCTTGGATGGCCAAGCCTCACTGGTCGACGGGAATCAGAACTTGGGCCCCTGCCTGACATGGCGTTCCGTCCTTGGCGTCAGCTGTGGCCTCAGGCGGCAACGGTTTTTGATGGCGTGACCAAGGCACGAACACATGATCTGATATCAACGAAGTGACTTGGGGCGGAGGACATATCATATCTCGACTATGTGCTGTTACATAAATCTGCCCGCTGCATCCTCCGGTGGAACGAAACACAGACATGCACATGGTTTCCCAAAATCAGGGACCTTATCCAGCTGTTGGTTTCCTTTTGGTTTTCCGGCAAAACAATTCAACAGTGGATTTCACATTTCAAGACATCCCCACATGACATTGCAGAAAGACGACGTGCAGCGCCACTCACTTGAGGCAAGGAAGCTGGGTGCCTTCTGATCTGAAAGAACATTTGCCCTTCCTTTCGCGAGTCGTGCAGAATCAAATCCCTTTGCCAAAGCCGGTCAGTAACACAGTGGGCGAAACCTCCGACTCTGACCCGTTCCAAAGAGAACCTCCATTGTGCCGATGTCAAAATGTCTTTTGCCGTTGCATTTTGTTTGATCGAGGATCTTTTGGTTGCCGGCAAAAGCTGATACGCCTTGTGTGTGTCACTTTGCTCGGGCTCACTTCAGCCACATCGCTAGCTCGCGCCAAGCAGCTCATAGCACTCCTCCCCCATGGGGCGGAGAGCCGCGATGCGATGCGCGCAGCTTCGCCGCTTCGCGAACCCCCTTCGAATCGCCCCTTGAGCAAAAACCGCGGGCCCCGATGCCATGGTGTTCCAATGACTCCGGAGATACCGATTGAAAGCGTGCCCAATTTCAGCGGCCAACAAAGGCACTTGTTCATCCCCAGAATGCCTCCCTCGATCAGGGGATCCGCTTCCCCCTCAAACCTGGCAGCCCAGCAAATCCAAATGTTTGGCTTCATGGCTTCCAAGGGTGCAACCAGTTTTTTAAGGCCGACATCTGATCCAGACCTTGGGCCAGTTGGTACACAGAAATTCCCTTTGGTTCAGATTCTGTGTCATAGTGGCTATGAATTTTCATTGGGGGCCCTTCGGCGGACGTTGTTCTGGGGGGAATGCATGTCCACCAACCACCTTCGAGGGGGGGTCCCCCTGAAATATCGTACGAAGAATCTCGGACCCCGAGCGTCCCGACCCACAAGCCAAACCAGAAACGCCCCCAGAAAACCCATTGAAACGAGCATTGATTTCATGAGTCCATCACAACCTGGCATTGACGGAGTGTACCCCCCCAAAAAAAACGAGGCGAAAGAGCCTGTTTGTGTTCGGGAGCCCATCGAATCAATTGCGGCTAGCACGGATTGCGAATCTCCAAAAGCTATGACCCGTCCACTGGGTGGCTGGCTTGCGGGCTCATTCGCGCGAGCCGCGTATCCACAGACCTGGACTTTTGGCCCGGGGTGCTAGGCCAAACGTCTTGTTTGGGTTGGCGCCATGAATACTTTCCACGTTCAAGCTTCCATATGGTTGGGGAAAACCACATGCTCAACCTGTTCCATCGGACCAACATTTTCTCTGGATCAGCCATTTGTGGCCACTAGGAAAGGGTTAGCCGGTTCTCCCAAGGCAGAGGTGTTCTTTTTCCTGGGCTGGTTTTTGCCTAGAGCTGTTTTTTGTTCCGGCTCGCAACATCCCCAGCATCAACTGGGCGCAATAGGCGGTATCCTCATTTTTCTGCTGGGAGCTGTTTGGCAAGTTGGCTGCGTCACTGGCTGGGGTTGCATGTTGGCTCTGATTGGGTGGCAGTGGGGAGTTGCTTGGGGTTTGTTTGGGGTTGATTTGGGCTCAGCGGCTTGGAGTAACAAGTCCATGAGTAACAACACACCCTGGCACTTGCACCAGCAGCACATGCATGCACCATGGATCACATGGACCTTGACGATTGTCAGAGCCACATTTGTGGTGGCGATTCCCACGTGTGACTTGATTCCCATGGCGATCCCCAGGTCCTATCAATTACCGGCTGAAAGACAATCTAAGACTCCCAAAATCCCAACAAGGCTGTCGGAACTATGAAAGGATTCAGGAAGATCACCCAGGAAACCTCTCAACGTTTCTGCGATCCTCAAGTTCGCCAGATCTGACTTGGTGTTTGGTTGAAAGGGAAAGCTTTGGGGTAACCAAAAAAGCCGAAAGTCAAAAAGGCTTTTGCTAAGTCTGGCAATGAGCCTTTCAAGCCTCACGTGAGCGGTAATGGCGCCCGCCTTGGGGTCATGGGCATGGATCTCAGCACTGGCGGAACTGAAGACGAACGACCTCACGGAAAGTGTGCTGCGCTCCGCTTCAAACCGACCATCGAGCTGGCGACTAGCTGACTAGCTTGGACTTTCCGGACCGCCTGGCTACTTTGAAATGGCTCGTCCCTACAGTCCGCAACACAGAATCAGCTAGGCGAAGCCAAAAGACTCTCAGTACAAATTGGAGAAGAGGAGGAAGAGGAGTGAAAACAAATCGAAGGTCATTGGACTCCTGTTGGCACCATCTATGCCGCATTACTTTGATATCTGCACTTGTGGTAGTTTGGCTCGTCAGCCTGGCATGATCATGATGTGTCCCAAAACCCGGCTCCACTCCGATTATGGCCAAGCTGCAAAATAGGAGCACGTTGTTGCAACACCCTAAGTGCAAACAGGGCAACTATGCAGAGAAAGCGGCAACGGCCATCAGGCCTTTCCAGCCCACGCCGGAACTAGCCGCCAAAAGGATGATCTTGGTTCAAGGATTTGTGCTGGGATTGCGAACTTGTGAACCTTCGGTGTGGTCATAGTTTTCAAGTACTGAAACATAGAGCATGGAAATTTGGCCTGGTGGGGTCAAACTTGGAAACTCTCTTCACATCAAACACCGTCATGAAAACCCCGTTCCCGCAAATGACCGTCATGACCTTTGGCGAAGTCCATCCTTTTGTAAGTTTCGTTTAAACGCGTTCCGGGTGGGTCTTTCACCCTCCGCACAATCTAGTTTGTAGCAAAAAAGCCATTCAAGGTTAGGCACGTTGGTCAAGCCAAGACTATTTTTTGTTTTCCTTCGCGAGTGAAGCTCTCCAATCCGTGTGGTTTGCCTCTGCTGCAAAAGGGGGGATGACCTCTAGGGCCTGTGCCCTGGCAACACCAAGATAAGAAGTGCAAATGTTGCTTCATATTTGGTCAACCTTACAATTTACGAAACATATCGGAGACCCCACATGCATCCCTCTAGTCTCAAAAGTTGCCGCTCTCCGCCTCACCTCTGGGCTTCCCGGGCTGAGTGGAACGGACGACTGCCTCGCTCAACTCTGGACCCTTCTAAGAGTCTTGGACCCTCACAGCCAAAAGGTTAGAAGAGGGTTGCCAGGTCTAGAAATTTGGTAGTCGAACATCTGGTCGAGCGAATCATGCAGCGCAACTGGTGGCAGAATGCTTCCTCTCAATACAAATCCTTCCAGCAACATGGCTTGGAAACTACGCTGGGCAGAGCACAACATGCCTGGCATTGATCCACGAACCACATGGTGCCCCATGCACATCACGCTCTCGGGATATCCGTCTGCTTCAATGCTTGCAGCCACAACTTTCCCCAGCCGGCCTCAACATCTTTCAACCAGGATTGTTCCGATGCAAAAAAACAAAAACAAGCTGTTGGTTTCCCTTCCAGGGACGCCTGCAAATGTTGCAAAGCCTTGCATAACCCCCACTCCCGGATGGGATGCACCGCCCTCTCAAACCCGGCCTCTCCACCCTGGGCGGCGCCTCAAGGCATCAAACTGATCCCATGGCTGGTTCTTTTTTGAACGCCTGGGGCCGAACACACGAAAAGGAGCGCTGACTGCAGATGGCTGGAGAGCAGTAGTACTCGGGGGCGTGACAAGAGTGGTGATTGTCCATTTGGTTGCACTTAAAATCGCCCAAAAAAGTGTACCCTCAAAAACGTATGCATTCACGCACCCATTCACCCTTCTCAAGGACTTGGCCTTAAACGCGGCGGTGTCGGGAGGTCTCCTAAACTCAATCGGGTTTGCTTGTCAAGTTGAATCACGCGGTGCAAGTGCAGAAGCAAGTGTATCTGCTTGTGAAAATGCTATGTTCGAACACGTTGTACGGCCCTCTGGGATACCTCATGCAAAAGCAATGTCGAATTCAGAAGGTCGTCATGTTTGAACCGGCGGTGTTCATCTTTTGTTTTTCTCAAAAAGCTGGGGAGGCTTTTGAAGATCACTCCAAAGCCAGCTCCCTGGAGCAAGCAAATCTAGCAAACCAGGGAAAGGTCTCAGTGCAGCCTTTGTTGGGAATGGACTGTCAGAGACATCAACATGAGGGCCCTCAGCAGGAATACGCTGTGCACGGGACGACAGGAGGAAAGAGAAACAAGGCATCCCACGGCACATGTTGCTTCTGCATGGAGGGGTTTGTTCTTAGGCAGCAACTTCTCGCCGGCTCGAACGGATTTCAACTCTGGCCAGAGATCTGATCCCCCCATCCCCAAGATGAGCCGAGTCTGGCCATGAGAAGCGTGAGAGAAAAAAAAAAAGGCAACTCCAGCGGGCTTGCAAATGGCGCAATTCCCCCCATCTTGGTTGGGTCATCCGCTTTACTTGCCGAATGAAGGGAACAGAGCGCCACCTGCTTTGACCCAGCGGTTTTTCCGTAGGTATCCCAGCGCGCCTGATGCACCATGACACGTGGCCTGGGAACTAAAGCCGGGCCTTCCGACTTCTGGCATACGACTTCCCGTTTCAGACTTTGACAATGATCAGACATACGGGCTCAGATTCAACACATCCAGCCAAACACCATATTTCACTATGTCTGACCAATGCAGGACCCTTGCCTGGCTGACTTACAAACAGGAGAAGAGGGAATGCAAAGAAACAATGAGGGGTTTGCAACTCCACTGCTGTGCCAAAGCTCTCGTGCCGTGTTTACCAACTGACAACGCAGTAGATGAGCAAATATGACGCACAACAAAGCATATGTCCTCGCTCGTAAATCAAGTCTATGTGACAGGGCTTTCGGGTTGAAATGAGCAGCAAACCGCCAAGCTGTGCGCTGGAACCTGAATAACCTTTAATGAGGGCCGCCCCAAAAGCATCACACAATTTGTGCTTGCTCGTTCCCACTCTGCATAAATCACCAAGTCCTCTGGTGCATTGTAAGTACGAACTACATATGCCATGTTGGCGTTTTCGTAACTGTGTACCCTACGCAGTGCAAGGAAAGCACCAGGGTCCCTTTCTTCGCGCTTGCTTGCATTGTTTGAATGTGGGTCTGTCTCAACAAAAAAATACGCGCCCTCAAAATTGGCGGGTGGCCTTTTGGTCCCCTTAATAACCACTCCAAAAGGGTACCCTCAAAAATCACGCGCCCAAGTGGGCAGAACGCCCGTCGGGTTTTGGGCCCCTGGCGTCATGGGCGACGCCGCGGCCGCAAAGCAGCCAGAGCTGCCTGAAAGGAACGCAACCGCAGCATACCCCCAAACAAAGCGGAACGAACCTATGGGCCAGGCATGGCCAAGATGAGTGTCTCTCAGAAGGTGCCTCTGTGTGAGGTCGTTGTTGTTGTTGTTGTTGTTGTTGTTGTCGTCGTCGTCGTCGTCGTCGTCGTCGTTGTTGTTGTTGTTGTTGGTGTTGTTGGTGTTGCTGTTGCTGTTGCTGTTGCTGTTGCTGTTGCTGTTGC